ATGGGGGCTCCCCTCCATGACCACCCGTGTGCAGCCCCACCTGGATGATGCGACAGCAGCCATAGTGCACCAGTACACTCCCCACACACCAGCTCTCAGAGTGACGAAGTCAGTTCAGAGAAAGGGGATTATTAGGAGGCCATGATTGGTAAGGGCCGATGGGAAATTTGGCCAGGACACACCCCTACTCTTTTCAAGAAACACCTTGGGATTTTTAAAGACCACAGAGAGTCAGAACCTTGGTTTTACATCTCATCTGAAGGACAGCGCCTGTTTACAGTACAGTGTCCCCGTCACTATACTGGGGCATTAGGATCCACACAGACTGCAGGGTGAGCGCCCCCTGCTGGCCCCACTAACACCTCGTCCAGCAGCAACCTTAGCTTTCCCAGGAGTCTCCCATCCAGGTACTGACCAGGCTCACACCTGCTGAGCTTCAGTGAGCTGCCAGGTGTGAGTTGCAGGGTGATATGGCTGCTGGCAAAAGCACTAGTCACCAGCATAACATCGAGGGAGTCTGAGCAAGAAGTGGAGTCTTTCATAGAAAGAAGTGAACTGAGAGGAGTTTTCAAAATTCAGATTTAAAGAGCTTTATTGGTGTGGCCAGTGAACTGCTCTGTTACCAATGCAATAGAAGTAACAAATACAAATGTTTTAGAACAATAACGAATGTATCTGACAGGTTCACTCTCTGTTCCTCAGGCTGTGACAGGAGATCACATACTGGGCTGCAGCTCTATTGAAGCTGTTCCCATTCTGGCAGGAGTGGGCATTCTGGAATTAGATGTCATAATTTAGGGAAGAACATTGGCCTAATCCCAGAGTATTTTTTGCAGTGCAGCAGAAACTGTATCTTTGACTCTGCTTCTACCTGCTGGCAGTTGAAGTACAGGCTGTTCTCTCTGTGTAGTAAGGTGTATCTGTGTCACTCAGTTTCTATGGCCAGGCTGTGGTCACTGAGTCTGTTCTCTCTGGACAGCCAGGTCTGTGTCCAGTTTCTATGGCCAGGCTTTGGTCACTGAGCCTGTCCTCTCTGGACAGCCAGGTCTGTGTCCAGTTTCCATGGGGAGGCTGTGGTCACTGAGCCTGTCCTCTCTGGACAGTCAGGTCTGTGTCCAGTTTCTATGGTCAGGCTGTGGTCACTGAGTCTGTCCTCTCTGGACAGCCAGGTCTGTGTCCAGTTTCCATGGGCAGGCTGTGATCACTGAGCCTGTCCTCTCTTGTCAGCCTGGTCTGCCTGTGTTTTTGCAGGACTCTGTGGGCTGGGCATCGGCGGACTGCTTGTCCTATTTTGTGTAATCCTGATCTGTTCAACACAATGCGCTGAATTACACTTTTGAATAGTCAAAGCCAGAATTCTGCAGTGTGTGGTTGGGTGATTAAATTGCAGTGTCCCCTTCTCATGGCGCAGAAAGACCTGCGTGTCTTCTCCATCTCGCCATGCAGGAGGCACACTGGCAGGAGTTTATGTGATGAGCAGGAGGGGTATTGGGAAGAGATGCTGTATGCTGGGAGCAGTATTCACATTTGTAGAATCTTTCCATACGCTGCCATGGGAATATACGTTATAGGAGATGCTGGGGACCTGCTTGTGGGCGGGCTCTGACCTTGAACTGCACGATGTAGCCAGGCTGGACAATCAGCTCTCTGGTGGCCAGGATGTTCCGTGTTCCGTCCTGCTTTTTGTTGGGCCAGTACAGGTGGAAGGAGGGGTTGCCACAGAAACCAGCGGTCCGCACGGCATTGGGGTAGAAACTCCAGCTCTCCTCGTGGGACGCCCCCTCTGAGAAAGAGATGCAGAGAGACTTGGGGTAAGAAACAGAAGAAGAACAGAGACAGAGGGGAGCACGAGAGGGAGGAGAAAGAAGGAATGAGCAAACCCTGATCAATTTAGTTCAGCATTTTCGACACCCTTAATGAAATGGTACAGGACTGAGGTGTGGGGTTTGCTCACCGTCATCAAAGGTGTCCAGCAGGCTGCTGGGATTGATGTCAGAGCCGCCGATCAAGATATTGTCGATGGCCCACTGAGCACGCTCCAGGCTGGGTGTGGCCAGGCCGGTTTCCATGGCGAAGGGCTGCCACCAGCGCAAGCGCGTGGCGTTAGTGAGCGCCCCCAGTGGCAGCACGATGTAATCCCTCCGCACAGAGATATACTTCAGGTAGTCCATCTCGTGAAGGAGCGTCCAAGACACACCTGCAAAGCGTGACAGACAGCCTCAGACGCAGAGAATCGACCCGGATACCTTCTTCTAACCCCTTTGCCTCCGAGTACTGGGCCACGCTGCCTCCTGTCTCACTCCCACTTCAAGCTGTCAAAGCTTTGTGAAGACCTGCCGTCTTCACCTGCTGCTTCTGTGCTCCTGCTATCACAAGACACGTGTACAGGGAGTTGTGTGCAGGATGTTTGGTGAAGAATGGAATGAGTCATCCCAGCGCTCAAGGGCTGGAGTTCGGAGCCTGATCTCTGCCACACAGACAGGGGGCTCCTCCCTACACTGCTCCCAGTGTCCCCTGTACGCCATGCAGGGGCGTGTACCTCCATCGGTGGAGTAGTCCAGCAGCACTCCTTCCCTGCGGCAGGATGGCCGGTGACAAGTGGTCAGGTTGTCCTCGCTGCCAATCCTTGCCCAGTATTCGACAAACCTGCCACACACAAGGAGAGGGAGA